ACATTTATATAGAGAACCAATATTTTATTGGGTCATCCTTCAATTGGAACTCAAACAAAGATTTAGGTAAAGCCCATAAAAATTATTATTAAAATAAAAAATAAAAAGAGCTCACATGAAATACAGCATTGAAATCTCATTCCTATGATATTAAACTGTAGGCTGTTATTCTGCAAGTTCTTAAAATTCAGCATCTTCTTTATTTAGATTGCTTAATAAGTTGGGTATATGGATTATACTATTTAAAGCAAAAAAATACTGAAACATCACTACCCATAAGTTTTCTTTTTAAAGTTGACTAAGCGTTCAGTTTGTGTGACTAGAAGAGAAAATGAGAAAAAATTATGGGAGCACCAGCATGTATCTGATAATATGTGACAATAGGGTCATTTAGAAAGCGTGTTAAGACTTCGGGACTATAAATCTATGGCTGGCTATCAAGCACCAACTTTTTTGCTTTGCTTGAAGGAGTTAACTATATCATGCAGTTCATTGACCTGACATGCACGTTTCTGATGTTTATAGGTGCCAACAATTTGATCCCAATGGAAATTGCACTAAAGATTGCTGATAAAATCAGAGCAAATGAGAGGTTTGCTGCATATATTATCATTCCCATGTGGCCGGAGGGCGTTCCAACTGCTGCTGCCACTCAGAGGATATTATTTTGGCAGGTAAACTCACTAGTAGCTTAGGATGAATTCCATCAGTTTTCATTATTAAAATTACTGTTTGCATATATTGGCTCTCAGTAAATATTGAACGACCCCATGATGATTTCAAGAGAGTTCTGTAGTGGAGTAAATATATGAATTACTGTTTGCATATATTGGCTCTCAGTGAGTAAGCATGCTTCCTTTAAATAAGGATTCTTCGGATCTATCAATTTAAATGGGGATACCTGCGGGAGGGAGTTAACTCCCGGCAGGCAACCTGATCCCATCTTGGGCCCCGCTAAACTTGATAGGAATTCTCGCATCCCATGTCCACTTTGCCTCGTAATTGAAATGCCAACAAATGTTCTGATCTATGACAATTACACTTCTGATTTACTTCATCTTTTCTTGCGTTGCTCAGCAAAAAACGATGCAAATGATGTATGAAGTCATCTATAAGGCTTTGATGGAGGTTGGTCTTGAGGATGCATTCTCTCCTCAAGACTATTTGAACTTCTTCTGCCTGGGAAATCGTGAGGCTACGGAGGGATATGATTCTTTGTGTTCTGAAAGTCCTAATGCAGAAAACACCCCTCAGGTAACCTATATCCTTAAATCAGTACTTGATTTTAGTCTTATGTATTTTTTTACTTTTAGTTTGGGTTTTGAGTTGTTATTTTAGGCCTTGTTTGATGACCATTTGGTTTTTTAATTTTCAAAAACCAAAAACCAAATAGTTATCCAACTAGACCTTAATTCTTGTTTTTGTTGGAAAGTTTGTTCTCTTTTAATGGAAGTTACCTGTAACTTCTGCTATAAATTTCCATTTATCATCGAAAAATTTACTTTCCCTTTGTATATATATAAATATGTTGATAATTTTACAACATTGCGGAACAGTCTTCCTATGTTAAGTTCTTGACAAATAGCTGTATATTGTAGGGAGAGAACTTGTAGGAAAAGAAGGAGAGATATAATGGAAACAACCTTGCATATCAGTCATCCATAATTTTACATCAAAATAAAGGAAGAGCCCATAAATTATTTTGAGAGTTTCCATGCAAAGAGCAAGTAATAAAAGAAAAAGTACCAATAACTTGTCCCTCTGCGTGTTTTTTTTATTAAAATCAGAAATGATTGAATGAACTGACTGCAGGCGCTTAGTCGGAAAAGCAGAAGGTTTATGGTATACGTTCACTCCAAAGGCATGATAGTTGACGACGAGTTTGTGATTTTGGGATCTGCTAACATCAACCAGAGGTCCATGGAAGGAACTAGAGACACTGAGATTGCTATGGGAGCCTATCAACCTCACTATACGTGGGCAAGGAAAGTTTCACGTCCTCGTGGACAGGTGAGTTTTAACTTTAAAATGTCCTAATCTGGAATTTCTTGAAATAATGCTAGTAACTGTAAGCTTTTGGACTGTACAATACGTCGAGGATTGTTAAGAGGGAGACCCACATTGACTAATTTAGAGAATGATCATGAGTTTATACCTAAGGAATACATCTCAATTGGTATGAGGCATTTTGGGAAAGCCTAAAAACAAAACCACGAGAGTTCCACAGTGTTCCACATCATTGTGGAGAGTCGTTATTCCTAACACAAACTAGAGTCAGTCCATAAAAAGAGTCCAAATTAAAGTTGTTCAAATTCTGTGAGGAAGACATTTTTTATGAATTTACAAAACATATGCTTGAAACAGGAGAGTTCCACATCTTGTTTTGCAATCATGATCAGATGCATGTTCATTTTGTGGGAAAAATTTGTTGAGCATTGATTACATGTTCATTTACATAGACCAGCATTTCTGAATTGTTCTGGGATCTGAATGTCCTGATCTTTAGATCTATGGATATCGGATGTCATTGTGGGCGGAGCATACGGGAACTATGGAAGACTGTTTCAACGAACCAGAGAGCCTGGAATGCGTGAAAAAACTTAGAACAATGGGAGAATCAAACTGGAAACAATTTGCTGGAGAAGATGTAACAGAGATGAGAGGACACCTTCTGAAGTACCCTGTTGAAGTTGATAGAAGAGGGAGAGTAAGATCTCTTCCTGGACATGAAAACTTCCCAGACGTAGGAGGAAAAATAGTTGGTTCATTTCTTGGCATTCATGAGAACCTCACTATCTAAATATAGCCTCTGATTGCATTCCAATTCAACCACTAATGAGCCGGGAAGCTGTCTTTACAGGTTACAGTAATGGAAGATTTTGATAGGTACTTATAAAGGAAAAATAATGGAGCAACACCCATCGTTTCCTCCCTTTTTTGGTAATGGCGTGTAACCCCAATACATGGGGGGGGTTTTTTTTTTTGTTTTTTTTTTTGTTCTTCATTTAATTATGTTAATAACATCTATTTTTTGGAAGTATAGTTTTCCTTTTTGTTAATGATTTATGAATTATACTCGTTCGTAGAACTGTAAAATTTGAATTCTTCCACTAATACAGTGATGAACTACATCTATGGACCGTCCACGTGTATCATGCTTGATTGGAAGGATTTGATCGAGAGTTAAACATGTAAATTGACATACTCAAAAAGTTTAGGATTTAAATTTATACTATTATTTGGTCAAGATTTTTATTGGAAAATAATTTATATAATCATATGTTTATTGAAATTATTTTTGAACTACAATTAAAATCAAAGTCAGATATAGGTTGGACTGAAAAAGAATTTAAAAAAAAAAAAAAACAAGTTGGTGTTGAGAATTATTTGGACAAAGAGGATGACAATGGAATTCACTGTTGTTCCCAAAAATGATGTAATGAATAAGAATAATTCTTAATTTTAGTGTAATACACATCATTCCATGTTCATTTCTAGGTGAGAATAAATTATTCATATCTCTTACTTTTCATTCCTTTTGACCTTTATTAAATTTTTTTGAGCGGATAATAATTTAGAGTTATTGTGTTTCTTTAATCTATTTTAAGATTTTTATTTACTTTGAGATTATATTTACGTATTAGCTAATTATGGTCATAAAGTATGAAACTTACTACTATTAGAATGTCTCATGTAACGTCAATAATTTTCATTTTGAGACTATATAAAGTTACGTATATTATATTTGTAAAACATATTTAGAAAATGTAATAAAAAGCACATTTGTGCTTTACTTTAACTAAAGGCTAAATTTCTTTGCAATTCTATTAAGTTTATGTTGTATGTTTAAAATTATTTAAGTTTGACACAATCAATCTTATTTACGGAGTGATTCGAATCTCAAACAAGTATTTTTATCTCGAGATATTTGATTAATAAAATAATATGAGTCTTACGTTTTCTTGTAGTGAAATCAAATTGATTTGAGGTATTAGCATTGGTAAACTAAGGGTTTGTAGAATATTATATTGTTATATTCAAATGTGAATTTTTTTATAATTATGTCCAACATTATATTATAAAATATGGTTGAATTTATGTTAAAATAGAAATTATCCTTTTAAAATATTATTTGAAATTAATATTTAAAAAAATATATAAAAATCGGGAAAAAATTCACTATAGGAATTTGATCCCACCAAATTTTCAGTGAGCACTCCGATTCAAGAATGAAAATTAAAATAGGAGGGTAGGGACGGACGGAGAAAGCTTCCATATCCCTACCTTGTCGCGTAGACATTCCTAGTCATGCACTACACAAACCATTATGAAACTTTAGACGTATCATATGAGTGCACAAACACACAATCAAGAATAATCACGTATGTGACTTTCCTCTATGAGAGTGAAGGCATGGTATTTAGACGAATACGACTCTCCATAATGGTATGATATTGTCCACTTTGAGCATAAGCTCTCAAGGCTTTGCTTTGGGTTTCCCAAAAGACCTCATACTAATGGAGTTAGTATTCCTCACTTATAAGCCCATGATCATTCTCTAAATTAGCCAATGTAGGACTTTCATCATCCAACATATGACACACAATGTGTCGTGACATAATGTGGGTACCATAAAATGGACAAGTCATTAGGGTCAGCTAGTATCGATACTACACTTTTTCATACAAGTCAACGAATACAAAATATTAGAATGTAATTGTAGAAACGTGTATATTTAAATAGGTTTAACATGTGTAGACTATATATCATTATTTTATAATTTTAACATAATGAATTAATTCTAATAAATAACATGATTATTTAACACAAAAATGAGACGAGATAAATGAGGTATAAAACATAATAAAAATAATAATTTTAACTATATCCTAATTAAACCATTATGTGTATTGTTAATTTATCGATAGAAATATGAATTTTTGAATTTTTTAAATACTTTCTCCTTACCATGCAAAAAGGAAAAACAAAAGGGAATATAATAAAACGACGTCGTTACTAATGATTAATGGATTATCAAGAATTCAGCTAAAGAATGAATTTACAAATCTACCCTTTCTCTCTCTCTCTCTAACTAAAATAACCAGCTAAGCTTTCCAGAAAAAGCATCTGATACCAAACGAATCTGATTGCTCCACGTGTCAATAGGAAAGGTTCTTAGGCAGCACTGGCCCACATTCTAACACGTGCCGATTCAGCCTCCACCCATCCACCTGGCTCGGACCACCACAACCTTCTGGCCCATTCGGCCACCTTTGGGCCCATCAAGTGCCCCGGGCCCACTCCCACCTCCATCACATGACACAAGTAGGTTAAATGGTGGTCCCCCCACACCCTACTAGATGGACCCCACTCTTTTTTTTTATTTTTTATTTTTTTATATTTTTTTCTCTTTTCCGTAGTGTTGACCCACCTTGCTGATGTGGTCCCCACACTTTTGCGCCTTCATTAAAATAAAAATTAAAAAAAAAAAAAAAAACTCTCCACCCCACCTTACACGTGCATTTACTTTTTGATCCTCACGTCTATCACGTGACTACCTCGTGCTTCCCTTTCCTTCCGCTGCACTGCCGAAAAGAAAAACAAATACTTTTCCAATTTTCTCCTTCGTCTTCTTTCCTCTGGTTCGTCAATGGCGGATGAATTACACTGAGATAGCTATTTGTGTGTTTCTTTTCCTTCTTGTCAATGTTTTGAAGCTGAGCGAGACATGAATTGAAGCTCTTTCTTATCGTATATCTCCAACGAGAAGTCTCTAAGCATCCGCGTCGTCGTTTTGCTGCTCGTCGGAACGGTGGAGCTCGAGATCGGTGCCATCACGGATTCTGACTTCGAGGTGAAAGCGCTGGAGCTGCTCGAGCTTTGATTCGTGGTGCTGGATTGAATGTGTGATGTGTCCGCCTTCGATACGACGGTGGAAATGGGCCGCGCCGTCGTATTGACGAGCGGCGGCCCCGGAGCAGGAAATGAAAACAACTGAGGACGGGTGGAAGAGCAAGCGACGGATGGAACCATGAAAACCGCCCCGGGAATTATAGCGTTCGATGGGATGGCCCACACCGGAACGAACCCTGGCGGTAAAGCCTGTTGCACGGCCGCGGTGGTACTGGTACCTGAATGGACGACGCCGTTGGAGACTGAGACGGAAACGGCATCGTTTACGTCGACGTAATCACTATTAGCAGGGCGTTTACGCCGCTTCTTACCGGCGGATTGGTCGGCAGAATCTTGATTAGAAGAAGTGGTGGTGGGAATTTTGAGAGTGCCATTAACAGACATAGCGATGGCGGGAATGGTACCAGTTCCAGTAGCAGCGATAATCGCCGGCTCAGCCCGTTCGAGAAGCCACCGTATGGTTTCGCCGTCAGACTTGTGGCCGAGTTCTCGAGTCAACTGGAAGATACGCGCCGCACAGGTAGCCGGAATCCGAATCCTCCGGCCGCGGCCCTCGACCTTGGTATGGCGATCCTTGGTGGAGGCTCTCTTAGGGGGGAGAACCGAGACGGTTTTAGCAATCTCCGGCGCGAAGTTAACGACCTGAATTTGGGATGGCGGGAGGTCGGAATCATGGGAGTCGTCGGGATCCTCCTGCTTGGGAGCAAGGGCAAGAAGGTCCATTCGAGAGGAGTCGGAATCATTCATCCGGAGATCGGTAACCGGAGAGTCTTCGTCGTCGTCGTCGTTGTATTCCTGCTTCTGAATATCGGCCATGGGGGGAAGGAGAGGATCGGAGAGAGGAGGAAGAGTAAGAAATGGGAACAGAGGAGTTAGGGTAAGAAATGGAATAAGATATATAAAGGGGGTGGAAAATGGGAAAAGAGGGAAAGTTGGGGGGTGGGGGGATTAATAATAATGTGAAATGGAAGGGGGGAGTGGGCCCACAAAGGGGGTGGGGGCCAGATGTGGAGAGAGATGAGCCGTTGGATTGGGTCAAAGATGGGGATGATGAGTGGTCCTACTCTCTTCTTCTTCTTCTTCTTCTTCTTCTATTTCTTCCAATATCTCCCAACTTGACATTTGCATCTCTCTCAAGCCCACTATTGGCCACCGCCCTCTAAATATATAAATATTATAAACTCAATTTTGCTCTTAACCCCACCTTAACCTTTGTATTTTATCAAATTCTTTTTTTTTAATTAAACTAAAATAACCCTTTAATTTTTTTTAAATCGAGTTAATTACAATAATCTAATTTAATTCGAGGGGAGAGGAGTTTGGTTCTTTCTCCTCTCCCTTTGAATCAGTTGGTAAAATTGCTGGATTACCTCATTAACCTCGGTCTCTTTCTTTTCTTCTCGGAACCTATTCTATTGGACAAGAAGACGATAGAAGGCAAAGAGTGTGGCATCGGTTGAGGTAAGGGTTCATGGGTTTCTCATAATTTTTTCAGGACTACTAGGATGTTTACCCGTTAGCTTTCTTATAACGAGTTTGTCATGAGCTGTAGGGGTCTATAGGGAGACTTATGGTTATTATTCATGCATGTGATTTTAACGGTTATATGGGGTCGATTAGGGGTTCACCAACTAACCCCTAATCGTAAACTTAACTCGATTGTCAGGGGTTTGGATATCTATAAAACTGACCTATGATATTTTATGACATGATTTTGTCTCTGTAGGGATTATTAGAAGTCTGTCAATTAACTTTTCTTTAGTGAATCTATCACAAGGCGCAGGGGTCCACAGTTGTGCTTTAGAGTTGGTTGAACCTGTAGCATGCATGAACCATATGAGATTGATACCTAGGTCGCGCCTCGAGGGTTTAGAGCTATGATGATGAACGAGATTAGCAGAAACGACTAACCAATAGACCTAAAAACATTAGAGAAATCTGAGGGTTGGAGGTCCATATAGGACCAAGAATCCAAGAAACTAAAATGACTTTCATAGTACTCCAAGTTGAGCTTAGGAAGACTGAGTAAACTTTGGGTGTAGCCTAGAAACAACTTGTACTTTGGAATGAACCCCCAAACAAGAATAAGACACCAAACAAACGAATTAAGATCAATAAAACTTAATAATGAACTATGAACTGCTAACAAACAGCTTACTAAGTATATTCTATATTCTCATCCCCCGCTACTTTTAAATTTTTCAGATAAGGCATGATGGAACGGTCAAGGCATAGGCGCACATGAGCTAGGGGCTAGATCGAAGTCTTGTACTATGATTCTCTTATGAACCCTTGATTTTTGTATTTCGAGGTTTCATGGACTACCTATGTCATATTTTTGTGTGTGCATCATTGTAGTTTGCCCGTTTGTAATGTATTTTAAACGACGTTCACTTAAATCTAAAAAGTTTGTATTTTCAAATATTTCATGTCAGTAAGTAACAGTCCATGGCTCGAGTCCCTCGAAAGTGGGTCATTACACATACTCATTTCAGTGAAGGGAGATCTTTGGCTTTATTAAACATACGGGCAAGGTAACATTCTACAAACATTAAATCGTGGACTGGTCCCTTCAATCCTTTTCTATATGTTTACGCTCTACACGACCATGCCAAATCTCCTCCATTTTCTTCTCCCTTGCTTTAGTCAATATGAGTTCACCTCGTACTAGCAACTTTTAGGCGGGGTGCATTCCCTTTAGATATATAATCGTGTCGCTTCGAGAAATTTAAAACCTAATTTCTTCCGTAAATTCCCTAACGTAAATGATAGAAGTTTCTATATTTACGCACTTTCGTATTAAAGGGACAACTGCCTTTGAACTACCAACGAAAAGTGGATAAACCATTGTAATCATTAATATATACATAATAAATAAAAGGGTGGTTTGAATTTTGGCCGATTTAGCTATTAATATAAGTACATAAGTTGAGAAAAAAGTGTGAAAATTTAGATAAATTTTTTATTTAGACTAAATTTAAATTAAAAGAAGAGTATATATATATGTGTGTGTATATATATATATATATATATTATAAATTTAATTATAAAAAGGCTATCCATTATAAGTAATTATAAATATCAAAATATATCCAAATCAGCCGGCTGTATCGGAACTAGTGGAACAATGAGCAACGAAATTACTATATTACCCTTCCGTACTAAAAATAGATTGATCCTATTATATTTGCTGGATGGATATAGGGATTCCCTGCCACGAATTTGTAGGGAATAAATTCTTAATGGAGAATATCCTTTTTTTTCTTTTTCTTTTTTTTCATTAAAAAAAAAAAGATAAATCAAATTAATTTTAATTTATTTGGTTAGTATAAAGATTTAAATAATTATATTTAATTTTCTCATCATTTCAGTACTCTGAGTTTCTTTTTTTATAAAAAACTATTTGAACTTTTAGCCAAATTTAAAAATAAAAATAAAAATTGAAAACAAAATTTGACTTCAGCTTTAAAAATATAGGTAAAAATAATATTTATAGGTATAATTAAGTAGCTATAAATAAGAGTTGAAAGTACATAATATAAAAAAGTATTTATGATGGTTTAATGATGTATTAAATGTGGTGTCCTATATAAATAAATAAAGAAATAAAGAAATACAAATATTTATTTTTAATAATTAATATGATTTGTTATATTGCAAAAGACACTTGCCTCCTTTTTTTTTTTTTAATTATTTTTGTTGTTATTATTTTGCCATATTATATTAATGTTGGCATCCAATGTTTATGCTTAGACAGTTTTCATCAGTCACATCAAATTATGTAGTGTAATTTACCAAAATAGCCTTGCCTCTATTTAATCTTTTATTTCTTTTTAAAATTGAATAATATATCACCAATCATATCCATTTAAAAGGTTGTACCTTACCTTATGGATTAAGTTTTTGGGAACTTTGGTTAAAGATGTCCCATTTATATTTTATATGTGTTTTTCTTAATGATTCTAATTTGGAACTTGTATTAATTTTAATAATCCAACCGAACATGGACTATAGTATATATATATATATATATGATCCATGTTTATAGTTATAAAATTTTTAAATGACATATATGAGAATAACTATGTATTATATTTTGGCAAAAATGTAACAAATAAGTTTCTAAGGCTAAAAACTATATTATAAAATCTTATGTACGAATGAGAATATAGTTGAACACCGAGTATCCGAGAATAAATAAATAAAAAAGAAAAAAAATGGAAAATGGGGAATGGTTAAATGCAATATAAAAGTGGACAAAATGGAGTGGGGCATTAATGTTATGGTGCACAACAAATAGGCATAGCCCATGGCCCCCTTCCCCTTACCCCACATACATAATCACCTTTTTGCCATTGTCCTCTCCCTTTTACTGCACTTTTTGGCCCCTCCCCTCCTCTATTTGTGCTTCTACCCCTTTCGTTTAAATATCAAATATTTACTAGTCACAAGATATTACTAACATGGATTACAAACGTTAAATATTAATTTTTTTTTAAAAAAAATAGAGTCAAGTTTTTTTAAAAAAATAGAGAAGTTTCAATCTTATTTTGGAATTGGTTGAATTTTGACCTAAAAAATGTCAACTTACCACTAAACTTAATTTCAATTATTAAAAAATTCTGCTCAATTCAAATATAAAAAAATATAACCCATGATATAAAATTGTGTGTTTATTATTTTAATTTAATTAAAAAATGAATTGTGTGTATAAATAGGAAAAGGAGGAGGATGGGCTTTTTACGTAGCCCACTAAGAATCTCGTTCGTTGAGAGTGTGGGGTGACTCTCATGTGACGCACCCCACGAAGCTTGCTATGTACGTCTCTTTCTGAAATTCCAACTTCGTGGGCCCCACCTCAATTGCTGGATCTGACCGTTCAACCATATCCTCTGGGTCCATCTAGATAAGGTCATCCTCATCATCTTTTTAGTTTTAGATTCTTTTCTTTCCCATCAATAATGTTAAATTACATTTTAATCCTTCATTTTTCTTTCTTTTTCCTTTTTTTTCTCTCAAATAGAAATTCGAACTTCTCAATTTATAATTAATATCTCGAATAATTTAGTTATATTTACATTGACTTTTAAATCATTACCTTTTAAATTTTAAAAATATTTAGTTGACTTTAATATTTAATCCATATTTAATAAAAATTTATTAAACTATAAATGAAAATATCAAAGTTCTACATCTGAGTAGTAATTGATATTACCTTAATCAAGACGTCAAAAGTTTGAATTATTCAACCCCTAAATATTATTTTTTAACCCTAAAAAAAAAGTCCTACCAAACCTAATAAATACATTTATTGAAAAAAAATTAAAATTTACTCGAACACCAAATTTAAACGTTGAAAATATAAAGAGTCTGAATACTCCTTCAAATTAAAAAGAAAAAAAAAATCTTCTTTAAATTACTAATTTATTCTTTAAATATTTTGTTTTTAAATTTCAAAATCATAATTAAGTCTCTAAAATTATAATTAAGAACTTAGGCATTAAAATTATAATTTAAACCTTCTCGGGTAGGTGGGCCTACCAACCTACCAAAATGCACTCCAAAAAAAAGTGGGACAGCCCTCAAGTTAATTAATTTAAAAATATAAAAAAAATGCGATTGGTAGAGAGGAGGGGTGTGGTGGGACCCACCAGCACTAATCAGCACTGATGAAAAGGGGCGGGGTCCACGCCTATTACATACAATGGGCATGCCCCCCATTGTCCTCCCCTTGCATTGGGGTCCACGTGCTGCTTCAGTGTGGTCCACGTTGGTTTTTCTAGATGGGACCCGTACGCCATGGCACCTGCCTTTTTTTTATAATTAATTTATTATTATTTTAAATGATTTGTTTTTATAATAAAAAATAAACAAAAAAAATCACTTTGTTGTTTAAAAAATATTCCAATACTTCCTTAATTTTTATTAATATCTTTAAATTTAAATAAAAACTTTTAAAAGTATCTTAAATTCTTTTAAATATAAAAGACTTTTTTACGAATATTATTATTAGGCACGTTACAATCTTACCATCTGAAGACTATAATTATAATGTGTAATTTAAAATTATGTTCATTTTTTTTAGTAATATTATAATTTAATTTTTGTAAAAATCATGTTAATAAAACATTATATTAGATTTTTATTTACCATTTTTAATATAAAAGAATATTGTAATATTCATTAGAAAAAAAAATTTAGAATGAAAAGGAGGTTGGGATGAAAATGGAGAAGACTTCCCCATTCCGCCCCGACCCATAGAAACACTTTTATGAGTGAGTAACTGTGTTTTAGCATGGATTTAAGATATCATTTAGGGATAGTTTAGATGAAATATAATAAAAACGGTAATGGATAAGGATTATTGATCCCTCCGTTAGGAACCAAGTTTACAAGCTCGGGCATGGACAGCACTTATTCTCATATATCATTTTTTTTTCCCTCTGATAAAAAGGTTCTCTATATCCCGTAGACTTTATTGATGTCCATACTCTCCCCTTTTATTAATATTTATTACATAGAGTCCTTTTTAATAATTATAATTAATTATGTAATTAAAATTATTTAGAATCAAATAATTCATCAAATAATGTCAAAATAATACGGTAGGATTAATTTCATAGAGTAAGTATATCAATTATGAAAATATTAATTAATTAATTAATATATATTTAATAAATTAAGTTATAAATATTATTAATTTATGTGGAATAATATTCTGAATTATTTGAGATAAATTAACTATTAATTATTATTTGTATTTATATAACCTACCACCAAAATCAAACTATAAAAAGGAGTGTTAGCATAATATAAATCCTCATTTTATTTGGCATAATATAAATACTTGTTGTATAGGTACATAATTATTTAGGCCGACATCTGATTTTTGAAATATGATAGGATAATTAATCTTTCAATTTCATTACAATACTAATTATTTAGCATCAAAATTTGTAAAAAAAAAAAAATAATAATTTATTTGATTAAAAAATAATTATTAAAATTGATGGCTAAATAACTCAAAATCCTAAAAATTAAAGTCAAATAAATTAAAATTTAATTGATTAAAATTATTTTTAAAATTGGCTTAATAAAAATAAACCATCTACCATTAATAATTTAAAATTCACCAATACAATAAAATTACTAAAAATAAATGCAACAATAAATAGGAATAATTTTTTATTTCAAGATATCTTACTTTTAGTATTAAAAAAAAACCAATTTATATATGAATTTCTCAAACTACCTATGATTATAAAGAATTTAAATTAGTAAAAAAAGCAATATTTTTTTTTAAATTCTCGATAAAATTTGGACCAAACACTATAATTATAAAAAAATAGAAAAAAATAATCCATTAAAAGAAGTCACCTACATTTGTAATATTATTTTATGGAAAAAAATTGTAAAATTAAAGTTTTAATAAAATATAATTAAGGAACATCCAATATACTCATAAATCACTCAATTAGTGGCTTAATTAGTGATTAAATTACATATTTTAAATAAAATACTGATATACATTGCTAATTATTATTCAAAGCAGTTTGATTAAAAAAAAAAAAAAAAAAAACATCACTAAATATTTCAATGAACAGCAGAAAAGAAAGCAGGAAGAGTTTGAAGCTTCAAAAACCAATAAGCTCATGAAGCAGACATGTAAGTGTATCTTGTCTGAGCTCCAACCATAAGCTCCACAATTTTTGCTGCACATCAAAACTAATCACATTGTAACAACAACCATGAAAAGAACTGCATAATCATAATGATAAAACAGAACCTGTGAGGAATCCAACAAACGGTACGGGTTGCAACACTTTCTCGGCTCCTTCGAGTTTCCGCCTGAGAAAAACGCTCAACCGAAGTGAGTTCAAGTCGAGGTTTGAAGTTTGGAGTGGAGAGATCAAAGTATGTATGTATGCACCTTGTGAATCTCCCAAAGAATGGGTCTCTCATGATGTAAAATGCCCATAGCATCTTTCGTCGTCTCAGCTGAACCAAATCGAACTCGTTGACGTTAATACGAGAATGATAGTTCAAAGGGTCGAGCACGGACTCGAGAAAACTAGTCTGTATGTATGACAATCAAATTCATGGGGGATGAATGATGAATGAGAGAACCCCTGACCTCGTCCTTCTCAGAATCAGAGAGGTGAAATCTTTGGTCTTCTCTACTCTTGGGGGTTGAGGTAGCATATGATAAGAAGCTTGTTCCAATGAGGTCCACAGCCAGAGAAAGAAACCAAGGAGTCCACGACCGAATCCCGTATTTTCGGATTAGAAGAACGTATATTAGCGGTCTTGTTATAAAAAGCACTTCTCCTATCACGAAAAGAGCCCCGAGACGACCCTGCTCGGACAAAATAGTCAAAAGAGTTGGCCTCTCAGGTATTGTAGCTGCAGAGGCACAGAATGGATTGTCATTAGACATTTCCAACAAAGCTCTAGCAACTTGGGATCATAATCATACATAATATCCATACTGACCTGGAGGATTGAACGTTGCACGCTCGTGTTGAACCCGGTATGACCATGCTGGTGTCGAATTTATCCGAGCATTATCCCCGAACATACTTAAAGCAGACATTGCCCTCCCTTCTAGACTCCACTGGTTATGTCCTTTAACATATCCTAAATAACCAGATGCATGATGCCCATCATTAGCTCTGTGCTGAGAAGTTGAAGTTTCGAGATGCGTTTCGTTATTTGTCGTTTCGCCTCCTTCGAGTATCATTTTGTATCCACTATTCTTGAACAGAGCTAATCTAAATAGTACCCTGAAATCCAATGGCAAAGAATATGCAATAAAAATGTATATTAAGATACAAAAATGGCACTCCCATACTCGAACGAGTCTTACTTCATAGCCTCCGTAACGGCAATGAAGTTCCAGCGTTTATCGTTGCCATAATATTGTTGTGCAGCAACTTCGATCAATGGCTCCAAGTTTTTTAGAGCAGATATGCACAACGAATAGGGAAATGAAGGTGGCACGGTCGCGTTTACACGCATCTGGGTTGGAGCTGTTTCAATTATGTGTTCATTGACTGCAGTGATAACACCAACAGCAGCAGAAACTGCAGAAATAGCTGAACTCATGAATAATTGCTTGAAACTTACAAATGAGACCAGTAACCCGTGTTCATTTCACAAGACAATGGCAGAAAACAACAAATATAGTAGTTAATAATAACGTAAAAACCCTTGCTGGCTATCAGAATCAAAGGGTGAAACCTCCACAAAGATCAGAGATCGGAGCATAATGCAAGGAGAAGGACCCAGTACCACAGGCATCAAAATGTATACATAGTCGAACAATGTCGTAAGAACAATCGAGTCGTTGAGTTCTCCGTTTTAGGGAATAAAATGGTTTTTTGTTTAAGTGAGAAATAATAAAAACATGCATTTTCATCAAAGGGGATCCAAGGGCACCACATATTCCAAGCTAAGAAGCAGTCAAGCGTTACCAAAGTTTCACAAAACCTGCTTCTGGTCCAATTTCTGAATTAGAAAATCGTTCGGGAAGAAGCCACGTCAAGCCCTGTACAATATTAAGAACCGTATACGAGGTTAAAGTCCACAAACTTATACCAGTTGTTATTACTATCAGATCTACAAACAGTTGGCTTTCGCTTGGTAATATAACAGTTCTCAAACACTATCAAGAAATTAAGGTGTTCAATGTCAAACAAAGATGAAAAAAATATGTCATGTCTCTGGTCTAGGCTCAGATTCTCTAATCAAAGATAAGAGAAACATGGCATCCTTAGGAAACAACGGACAACATGGCATCCATTGACGTAGAAACTTGAGGAACTGTTGACAGGAAAAGAAAATCAAAGGCATCTACATCAGAATCTTCAATTATGGCATCATCTAATGAATTGTAATTAGGCTGAGGTTCCAATTCTGCACTACTCATCATCGTCTGAATCATTGAAAGGAGCATTTGATGACTTTAAAATACCATGAAAATTTGGAACCACCTACACCATTGTTGATTTCAAATAGTATCGATTGGGTATTTCCTTTGGTGTTCTTTCTTGAAAATTCCCGTTCTTTTGAAGAGGAACCACAACCCTTGAACGTGATTATTCAGTTGAATCTTCATTATAAGAGGAAGATACAAATGTAAAGGATTGAGGGTTTTTAATTGTTTAGAATTTTGAATAGGCTACAATGAAACAATCCTTTACATCCTTAATGCTCGGATTATCTTGGTTATATATCTTGTTCTTCCATCAGTTCAGCGATCATTGGTTATTCATTTTCTGGAAATTTCAATATGCTCAAAAGTGAACAATATCACACCATTATAATTGCCCTTAACTTAGCCATGTTAATCGAATCCTCAAGAGTCGAACAAAGAAGTTGCTAACCTTGAAGGTGTAATAAAAAATGACTCAAGTGTCGAACAAAGGGTGTACTTTGTTCGAGGGCTCCAGAGAAAGGAGTCGAGCCTCATGAAGGGAGAGTTGTTCGACAGCTACATAGGTCTTAGGAAAAGCTCTATGATGTACTTTGTTCGAGAGGAGAATTGTGGGAAGGGAGTCCTACATTGACTAATTAAGGGGAAGATCATGAGTTTATAAGTAAGCAATACTATTTTAGTATTCCGTACCACGCTTTTGGAAAAACCAAAAGTTAGCATGATCATTAAACAGCAATTCAAATAAACTACTTGATAAGCATGCTTCCAAGATAACTTACAGAGAAAGTCACAAAAGCCAAGCAAATCAATTCCCAAATGAAATCAAACAGATAAAACAGCAAATTCTGATGAGAATTCGAGAGTGCTCACATTTGCAAGAGACTCAAAAGAGTAAAGATAGTTCCTGTTATCCCTGACCCACTTCTTATAAGCTTCCATGACTTCAAAACAATCCCAACGCTGCAGCAACAGAGGAAACAAACACTTGAATCGCCCAAGCACCTGATACAAACTAAAACCCTAAGATTCAACTGGGAAAAACTCCCACATAGCCAAAAGGAAATTGTACGGTCATTCAAATAGATGAATCTTGTTCGTGAAATTTTGGGGAAAGTTGAAACCAAAAGGTTCAGACAAAGGGAGAAATTCTAGGAGAAGAATGGAAGAGAAAAGGAGCAACCAAACTGGGATTTTATGAAACGGAAACTGTAAATTTCATCAGACCCACAGCCCCAATTACCGCCGCCATTCTCAAAAACCTCCATCTCTCCCTACTAATTTGGTTGCATATAGCAGAGAGAAGCACACATTTCAATATATATGTAAAAAGAACAAAAAAATATACAGGATATATATATATATATAAAATTTTATTAATAAAAAAATATTTTTAAAAAAAGTTACTTTTGAAATTTCCATAAAAGAAGGATTATTTTACAAAGATTATAAATACGACTTTGTCTTCTCTGTAGGGTTTTAGGGTTCCGGGGAAGAAAATTGAAAATGCAACTAACCCTTGAATTTGGGTAAGTCTCTCTCTCTCTAAGGAAATTTTCCCAGTTGTTTGTTTAGTGAGATACAGGAGAAAATTAGTGGTACTGGGTAGAGAATTTTAGTGGATTTTGTTTCCGGGAAAGTTGGAAATCATAAGATATATAAGATCGCGTTCTTTCGTGGTTTTACGTTTTTCGCAGCTCAAACTTGGATTGTTCTAGCGTTGTTTGTCTGTGAATATAGATTGTTTTCTCAATTTCGGTGAACTCTCAAGTTCATAATCTTAGTGTGTTTTTATGAAGAGTCGTGATATTGGAACTAACTGAAAATTTTGCTTGAATCTCCAGTTGCTTCATTGCCTCCATAATCATTCTGGTTTTGTTCATGTTATTAACGTAGTTTTTGGAAGCATGCTCCACTTGAAATTTCCATAAAAGGATTATTAACGTAGTTTTGTTCATATTGTAATCATTCTGGTTTTGTGTTCAAGTTCTCTGTGTTTGATGTTGCTTTTAATTGGATTTGTATTTGTTTCTATAGCCATTATGTAATTATCAGATGTAAAGTATGTTGGTTCAGCAATTCATCAGTTTGTTTGGTGGCAACTTTTGGTTTCATGCATCAACTACACGGATTTTGTATTGTCGACCTCATTCGTTCTTTCAATCTCCATCTCCCCATCGAAGCAGAAAAAAGAAGGAAAATAGACTGTGGGCATATCTTGAGTAGCCTTTTCTGCAATATTAGGAATGATACTTTTATATGCTTCTAGGTTGAATTGTAATTGAACTTTTTTATGAATTTAGAGGGTGGGGAAATGATATCAGTGAAGATACATTTACAACGTAAATCAACACTCAACCTTCAATGTGCCTCTCCCTTCCAAATCCGAAGTGCGTTATGTGAGCTTTACAATCTGTCACATTTATGTACAGACCAATGGATTTTGGGAGGTGATTTTAATGTGATCAAATGGTCATTCAAGAAATCAAATGGCAACCCAATTACGAAAAGAAATTCATATACAGGAGCGTTCTGGTTGGCTCCCCTCTCGAACGAAAAATACACTTGGTCCAGCTTTTGTGGACAGCCTGCTATGACCCTTAAGGATCGGTTTTTAGTCTTTGGCCCTTGTATTGATAAATTCAACATTGCTTTGGGCAAGCGGCTTCCTCATATCACCTCTGATCATTGTTTGATTCTCATGACCTTTGGACATCAAAGATGGGGCCTGAACATGTGGATGTGGCACCACTCCTTCGAGCCTTTGTTGAGACGAAAACAACAGCTACGTCCATTGTTATGTCCACAAGAAGGAGAAAGAATACCGTTGTTGAGATATTATCCAAAGATGGCACTAGTTTGGTCTTGGATAGTGATATAGAGGTCGAATTTATTGTATTTTTTACAGAAAGTTATACACCAAGGGTCGAGGTAGCAGACTTCTTCCAATCATTAGAAATTGGGATCTGATATGAACATCACCAATCCCTTGTCATTGAGCCCTTTTTACAAAAGAGGCGATTAGGAATGCAATGAAGGACCTGGGATCCCACAAATCATCTGGATTAGATGCTATACCGCATAATTCTTTAAAAAGCGTTCGAACATTCTTGAGGGTGACTTGAGGAAAGTGTTCCAAGACTTTTTTAGAATGCCATCATCAATGCAAGCCTTAACGAAGCTTATATTTGCCTCATCCCAATAGAGGGATGCCACATTTGTGGGTGATTATAAGCCCATTAACCTTACCTCATGCCTGTTTAGCTGGAGTGGGTTTATATCATCAAAAGCTTTTTTTGGTCTATTTGGCTCGAGTGAAACCTTCACATCTTTGAAGATAAGGTGCAGGACTTCGATTCTTTCTTCGGCCTCTTGATGTATACTGCTCTCATTACTTCTGTGATTATAGTCTTACATCCCTCATTTCTAATCAGGATCATCTTTTGTAACTTGTGGCGTCCTTTGCCTTTTAGTACATTTCATACTTAAAAGTTACCAGATTCTCATAGAAAAAAAGTATGTCATTTGTTAGGTTCATATGATCGACATGACAGTAATATTAATGTTTAAATGCAGTGGGGGATTGGAGTTGCTATGTGACTCTGTGAAGATCCATAATGTCAGCATCAATCCTGAAAATGGAGTGGGAAAGGTAAACTATCTTTTCCAATAAGTTAATGAAAGATTCTAGTCGATATCATCAGATTCATATTTTCCTGTTTCTCCTTTCATCTCTCTGTTTATTCGTCTAATGTTTTCGTTTAAACCACGTCTCAGTTAGTCATGAAAGATTTGCTCTCTTGGGTCCGTTCTAATTTGATCAAGGAACGGCCAGAAATGTTTATGAAAGGCGACACCGTGTAAGTAAATGAAACACCTCATTTATGAAAGCCGAAACTTTTTGAAGAATTGTGAGTATATTAAGGTTGTATAGCTGACAGTGGCATGGTTTGGAATGTGGTGCAGAAGACCTGGTGTTCTGGTGCTTGTAAATGATTGTGATTGGGAGCTGAGCGGGCAGCTTGACACAACATTGGAAGAGAAAGATGTGGTTGTGTTCATATCCACCTTGCATGGAGGCTAACTTCATCAGGAATGTCTTTTTCTGCTTCTATCTACTAAATACTTGTCTAAGATGATATGGTACTACGCCATTTTAACCTTTAAAATCTGTATTTTCCACCTGAAATTCGTCCGACCATATGATAATCAGATTTTGCAAGAAGCAAGAATGAATAAAGGTGGCTACCAATTACAAAAGTGGATAAGACACCTGCTACAATTACAAAAGTTAATGGTTCGATTCTCCACCATAATTGTTGAGTATCCAAAAGAAAAACGTAGGTGTCTATTGTAGTTCACGAGGCACGACATGCCTGCCTTCTTTCACAGTAACACAATAATCACCCTTGGATTGTTGCTATCTTTGAAAATCATTGGCCAAGGTCTAATTTTTATTGGTTAATCGTGTACCAGAGGCTCCTTTATTGTTGTTTGTAGATCAATACAAGGTCTAAAAAAGAATGAACTATAATTATAATGACCAGAAAATCAATACAGCAAAGAACACTCCAAAAAAATAAATTAAAGCTAATTAAAAGCCTTAAGCAGCAGCAGCATTGGTCCTTATAAACCAACAAGGGATGCTGCTTTAGCATTATAGTTCTCGAAGAAAGACATCGAGAACATGATAAAAGAAAAACAATAACAAAGAAAATAGAGACTTGGCAAAAAGAAGGGCTGTGGCTTAGGCCTTTTGCTTCCCCTTTCTAAGTCTGTCAAGATCAGTTTCAGCATATTCCAGCTGCTGCTTCAATGTTGTTATTTTCATCTCCAAATCTTCCACTGTGTCTCGGCTGCTTGATGGATCATGTGGGGTCAAAAATTTACCTGAAAACCCAGCCAGAGCTTCAACTCCAGTCACCTACAATGGCACAAGTTCAGAAATGAAAACTCTTAGAAACCTCAGGAAGTACATGGCATAGAATTTACTAAAGATGTAACAACCCAAGCCCACAGAAGACAAATGTTGTTCTCTTTGGACTTGCCCTTTTGGACTTCCCCTAAATGCGTCGGTTGGCGAGAGGTTTCTACACCCTTATAAAGAATGTTTCATTCCTCTTCTACACCCTTATAAAGAATGTTTCATTCCTTTCTCCAACCGATGTGGGAGAGTTGCATAAAAACTTTTTTGATAAGCTGTAAATACAAAACAGCTTAGTAGTAGACCAACAGGGAGCAACAAGAATGACTAAACACCTCCCTGCTGGAATCATGATTTTGGAAGATCCTTCGAGTTCCTTTCAGACCAAAGGACCTTAGCTTGCCCTTTTGAAAGAGAAACATCAATAAGGCGGGAAAGGGCACCTAACACTTTACTTGGCAAACAACTATGAAGATTAAAAGGGATGAAGGGATTCTCCCAACGCACAGCCACAAATGAACAAAAGAAGAACAAAAGCATAATCGTTTCTTCACTATCTTTACAAAGAACACACAAACTTGGGGAAGAGCCATATTCCGAAGGATCCTATGAATTCAACAGCAAGTGTTCAACCAACCACTCAAAGGAAAAGATCCAGGAGAAAACCGTCACCTTTTTTGGAAAAGAAACTTGCCAAATCATATCAACACGTTGGTAATCAAGGGCTGTATGATGCAAAACCAGCTTGGGGAGTGAGTTCGCCGGTGAGGAAATGGGGAGAGAGAGACGAGAGGGAGGCGAGGCCGAGAAGGGACATTCTTTTATGCCTTTTGTTTGGATCAAAGTATGTAGAGAGAACACACAAACTTCAAGCTAATTTCAAGACCATTCTTGATCAGCTCCCTAGTGCCTTTTACATTCAGACCTTAGAACTAAACCCAACACCAGACATGAATAAAGCTATTTATTTTAATTTGAGAACCCTCAATCACATGTTACAATGGGCTTTTATTGAGACACATTTAACTGTACCTCTTGAGGCAGCAATGGCAACTTGGTGATGTGGAAGTCATCATACAACATGTAAAATTGGTCGAGGTACTTCTGTTGCATCCGCATTCTCGCTTTTAGTAACTTGGATTCGACATCTAAAATGACAGTACATTACGATTAAGTGACAGGGAAGATCCATCTCATTTAAGAAAATATATATCTATGGATTCAATTAACTATCAGACCTTCTTCGTCGTAAAGTACTTGGTTAATGATGATATTATGTGTATCGATCTCAAACTTGGTGAGCTCTTGGACTAGTCTCTCTGTTTCGTAAAGCGAGAGAAACTCAGGAATGCAGACACAGACAAATGTAGTCAAATCCTGCAAACAGAGATATCAGTACACCTAACAGTAGTTCAATGTCAGATGAAAACTGTACACCAAAAATCACGTAATAAGATAATCCCTCTAAAACTTCTCTCGTTCCTACCCGGACCAAAGGGTCCTTAAAATAGCAAAGAAACGAGCTTCTTATCTCAAAAAGGCAGATGGAATAATACCGCCTCCATCATGAGAAGACCATCACTATTACAGGCTATGCACACACACCAAAAGTTTCGAAAATAGCGAACTTACAACCCCAGATAATACAACCAGATTCCTTAGACGCCTCTTTACAAAGGAGTAGTAATTCCATCTAGCAAATACATATATATAAGAATAGCTACTCCGATCCCTTCAGCAATGGTAATTCCGTCAAACAACTACATGTATATAAATATTTTTACCGTCATATCGGTATCTAACCATGCCCAACCTAATTTCTGCCTCCTCAAAGCTACTCTATAATAACTTTAGAGAACATTGTTGGAAATCTAAGAGAGGCTACAGAGTGTGTTTGCATGTTTCTATTCCGGCTTCTAATATTTAAAAGTTCGGTCACTTTTTTCTAATACTTGTTCTTCGTTAGACAAACGTAAACAAGCAATAATGCAGAAAAAAACGTGAATAATTAAGGGAAAATAAAAACAAAAAAGAGTAAGAAACAAGAGTTCTTACAGGATCTTTGAATTGCCTATTAACTTGTTCGATCACATCTCTCATGCCTTCTAGTCTTCCCAGAATTGCATCCTCACCAAACTCATCATCAACACCGAACATCCGGGTCATCTGTTACAGAAAGTTTCAGATCAGCTAATTACCTCGGGTATTGTAACACAACTTTTGTAATTCTGGAAAGCTAAAGATGCCAAGAGAAAAAAAAGTTCTAGGTAGTTTTAAGGAAGTGACTTTGTCTAATTCTAACAAAAATCGAAGTGTTAATACGTTAAACTGAAATCGCACATAGTCAAATAAGTTGAAGAGCAAAAGTTACATGGGAACCTCCAAATCAAATTAATATAGCACAATCTTAAACTTCTTCAAACGTTATTAAAATTCAGATGCTTGTCTCTAACTATACATAGTTATCAAATTAGAAACAGTACCTGACCCATTATGCCTCCAAATCTACTTTTCAAAGACATTAGCTTTGAAAGCCCCTTCTCTAAGGTTGATGGAAATTGCAACAGCCGAAGCGTGTGGCCAGTAGGAGCAGTGTCAAATACTATTACAGAATAATCCATTGTTTGTACTAATCTGGAGACAAAAAGATCATTTAACATAGCCAAGTTAATAAATATAAACGTTTTTTTTTTTTTCCCCCGAGAGAAGAGAAATTGATTTGGTGGCACGACATAAAGATGAACATATACGTATCGGGCACATAGCCCCAACCCAACCTTCCATGATTGCTACAGACCATTTTTTGCCAATTTCCAAGTCCTAACAGATTGTTAGATAATCAAAACTGAGAGCAACCTAAGCACTTCAAATAAAATCATGGCAAATACTCAAACTAGCAATCCTGGAACTACAATCTAAGCTTTGTAAATTGTACATTTTATCTCGAGTTTATTTTTCTACAAGAACATATCTCGATATTATAGCAAAAGTAGATAAAAACTCTGATAATAGAGATCGATGCGTTTCTTACTTCAGCATCTCCGAAAAGCTCATTGCCTCATCAATTCCAGGAATAGCATTAGCCAGCTCAGAAAATAAACCATCTATCCCCTCCTCGAGTTCTTCATTTTCCACAGTAGGATTCACCTCCTACATACCAACATTGCCCAGATTGTGAAAGGCATAATCTTATCAACAACAGTCTAGAAGGTAAAAACCCCACAAAAATGTTCAACAAACATGCATACAGCAGGAAATCAGCTAGCGAATTCGTCAAATTGGAACAATTACATACAAATATATAATCTAAACATTCCTGCCCACCAATTCACCAGCAAACTTCCAGAAAAAAAATCGACAACAAATCAAATTCATAATTACATCAAGATTCAAATCAAACCAACAATAATGTCTCAATTCATATATCAATCACCTTGAAAAACCACACGCATTAGAATCCAGATTACATCACGTAACACGCTTCAGAATCGGAAAGAAAAAATAAACCAAAAAAAGACGCACCATGGCATAGAGATTGGAGAAGCCATTAACCAAGGTGGGTGCCTTGGTGAATCGCTGCTGAAAGGCATCGCTGAGATTGTGAGCCGGGTCGGTGGAGATAATCAAAACAGAGGATCTGACACGGGAGAGAAGAATCGAGAGGATGGAGCTGCAGGTGGTTTTTCCCACACCGCCTTTGCCACCAACAAAAACCCATTTAAGAGTCTCTTGATCCAGTAGATTCTGAACTGTGCCTTCAGGTAATTCTTCCGCCATTTTTATTGCTCCCAAGAGTTTCTCTCTTCTCTCTCTCTCTAGAAGAGAGATTGGAGTGGGCTTTGAATGTGATCACGGATTTGGGAAATGGAAATGAAGAAATCCACTGGGTGATCTTCCAGTTTCAAGATTGATTCCTCATCAGAAAAATTAACTCACACGAAGAGAAGTTTGGAGTCGGATTCGAGAAGAAGAACGAAAGCGATCACCGATTATTTCCAGTTTCCCATTTTAACTTCTCCCTTTGTTTTTAGAGTGCAAATCATAAATAAAATCCCTCTATTAAAGCAAACAAAACAAAGCAAAATTAGTTTTTGTTTCTAAAAAAAAAAAAAAAAGTTAAAAATTAATAAAAATATCTTTTAACTTTCCCAATTTTAATAATATCTTTAAAATATAAAAATATAGTTTTTGAAAAAATTATTAACAATTCGTTTAAAATTTTAAAGTATTTAAATTTCCAAAGTTTTATTAATATTTTTAATTTTTTTAAATTTATTATTCAAATAATATCAAGTATATTTTTAATTTTTTTAAGTTAAAATTAAAAGAATATTAAAAATAATAATAAAAATTTTGAAAGTTTAAGGATATTTTTTAAATTATTTTAAAATTTTAAAAATATGGTTAAAATAAAATACAATTTCCATTTCCAACCAACTTAGAATATTTTAGGATAAAATACAAAATTTATAGTCATTTTTATTAATTTAACATGAAAAATATTATAAATTATACTTATTTTAAATTTCATTTCAATATAAGAATAATTTAATTAAATAAGACATATATCATCCATTAAAAAAAATGAAATATACGAATCTCTCATATTTCTTCGTTATTCAACTAAAATAAATTAAGAGACGTGCAATTGGATTGAACTTTATAACACTACTGATTAGTGTCTAAATTGGGTAGTTCAATTGAACCCAAAATTTTTAACTACATAAAAAACCTAGTTTAATTACACATACGAGCCTTAATAGTTTAACGTCTAATTGCATAATCACCATATAAATATAATACGACACATATTTATAGTTCATGCTATCATTTGATTCACTCACTTCCTCGTTAATTATTCTCCTCTATGACTATCTTTTCCTTAAAAATAACTATTAAATGCTCTCACGCTCCATCTCCTGTATTTGTGTTATTGTTCTTATTGTTCTTAATGCATAACACATTCTCGAAATTATTTTATTTATTATTATTTTTTTTTGCTAAAAGTAGGTTTCTGGGCGATTTGTGCTATGAACGTATACAATATATATGAATTGAATATCTTATATATACATGGTATATATTTTGTTATAATGTTAATAATCTATTATTTTGTGCCTATCAAATAAAAATATCTTTAAACTTTATATTTTATTTAAAAAATATACTTACATTTTAAAAAATTTGAAAGTACTCAAAAGTCTAAAAAAAAAAAAAAAAAACTTTAAACTAAAAAAAATATATATGTTTTAAAACTTTTTAAAGAGTTTATTAAAAAAATGTTTAATTTTAAAAAAAATTATTAATTTTCTTCCATTCTTTTTAGAAAATTAAAAATACTTTAAAACTAAAAAAAAAAAAAAAAAAAAAAAATTAAAAATTAACTTTAGGATTGATATCAAATTTAAAAAATAATCACAAACTTTCAAAAGTATTTAAAGATAATCTATGAAGCGTCACGAGACAGTTTTCGTCTATATATTGATGATAAGAATTTTTTCAACCCTTTCTTATAAAGGTAAACATACGTTAATACTGCTCTTGAAATTTTATGAATATTTTTTAAATATAATATTAACAATAAAAAAAATTTAAACTAGGTATATTAACCAAACATCTTAGTACTAACCATTTTTATTTAAAACGGATCATAATAATATTTAATTTTTTTAAAAGTTGAAAGATATTATTGAAATTTTTTGAGAGTCCAAAGTATCTTAATTTTATTAATTTAGTTTTTTTTTTAAAATTATTTATTATAGTTTTGATTGTGTTGATTTAATTATTCATATTATATATGTTTAAAATTATTTAATTATCCCATGTATGTTATTAAATAAATTTCGCACTACGTGACCAAGTGCATCTTAATTATTTACAATATGATCCTTATCAAATTTTAAATCGTTATCAATTTCATGTTATTAAACATATATTTTATAATTCATCACATGAAAATAATTTTACTAAAAAACCCATAAAAAAATAAAAATTACCATATTTATTTTATTTTAAGGTAAAGATGAGTGAAAATTAATTTCTTAAAATTTAAAAATATAATTGATTTTTTTTTGGGTATAATTTAACATTATTTTTAAAAAAATGTATGGGTACTTGTTATATTCTATTTTTAAATAAAGTATATATTTTCAACACAGATTTAAATTTTAATATTTTAAGGGGAAAAAAATTATATAAATAATTAGAAAATAAAGTTACCGTTTCAAACTGACTACGATGAAGCCAAGGGCCCAATTTTCGGGCAGCCCAAATCCCATTCATGGAGTCTTAAAAGGAAAAAAAAAAAAAAAAAAAAAAACATGGCCTTTCTAAGCGTTGCAACGGTAACAAAACATCCATTCTGAAAAATTGAAGTTTCTGCTCACACACGGTTGAAGATGAACCTCTTCTACGCAAAGTATCAATCGATTTCTACAACGAAGAACTGCAAGTTTTTATTGGTTTCATGAACCCGTTTCTGAATCACTCAGAGCAATGGGAGTTGGAGGCAATTTCTGGGATTTACTGAAACCTCATGCTCGAACTGAGGGCTTCGATTTCCTTAGGAACAAACGGGTCGCCGTCGACCTCTCTTTCTGGATCGTCCAGCACGAGACCGCCATTAAAGCCAGTGTTCGAAGCCCTCATTTGAGGCTCACATTCTTCCGCACCATCACTCTCTTTGCTAAGGTTTTGTTTCTTTGGGTGCAAGAAGTCGGCGATGAAATTGTTTTTGCCGTTTTGGGCGTTGATGTTTTGGGCGTTGGAATTTGAGGGTTTTGTGAAGTGTTTATGCGTAGTTTAGTAACATGAATGAATTTGAAGAGAATTTGGGAATTCCTTTGGTTGTAGTTCTTCTGGTTTAAGATCCTTATGATTCTCTTACTCTTTTTACGTTGATGGTGATTTTGTTGTGTATTTTTTGCAGTTTGGTGCGTTTCCTGTGTTTGTAATTGATGGAACTCCTTCACCCTTGAAATCCAAGGCAAGGATAGCAAGATTTTTTCGGCTATCTGGTATTGATACTCATGATCTTCCAAGGGTTGAAGATCGCATTTCAGTTGACAGGAATAGCAAGTTTGCAAAGTGTGTTAAAGAATGTGTGGTAGGCTGTTTCACTTGCTTTCATGTTTCATCATATATATGGTTCATCAATTTAGACTCCAAATAGTATGGTTTTGTGCATCCGCTCGAAGGGCTTGGGATGTTTCGAGATACCCTCCGACGTCCTAGTTCAAGCCTTGAGATGAAAATAGCAAAAAGATTTACAATTCTTATTATTATCTCTCCGAGTTGACCTTGGATGTGTTTAATCTCATGAAGATTAATGCAAGAAATGGTTGATTATAGAAAAGAATGTTGAGGAATATGAAAAGGAGTAGTCCAACGTTGGCTAATTAAGAGGAAGATCATGAGTTTATAATTAAGGAACACTATCTCCATTGGGATGGAGGTCTTTTGGGGAAACTAAAAGCAAAGTCATGAATGCTCAAAGTGGACAATATCATACCATTGTGGAGGTCTGTAGTTCGTAACAAAGAAATAGTGTTTTGTGCATCTTGGGTTTTTGTTATTGAACTCCATTGTGTATAGTCTCTTCATTGTTAGTGTATATTGTTAGGTATCACGAACCTCTACAATGGTATGCTATTGTCCACTTTGAGCATAAGCTCTCGTGACTTTGATTTTAGTTTTCCCAGAATGCCTCATACCAATGGAGATGTATTCCTTACCTATAAACCCACAATCAACCCCTTAATTAGTCGATGTGGGACACCTCTTCCAACAATCCTCAACATACACGAGCCTCGTCTCTGCATTGCCTCGACTCTTGGGTTAATTTGTGTGCGATCCTTTCTTATTGTGTTACTCCCTGAATATCTGTGATGCTTTTGTTTGATTTGGTGGACCTGTAACGCTTATCATATCTTACTAATAGTTTTTTGTTCATAGGAACTGCTTGAGCTATTTGGGGTGCCCGTCTTAGAAGCGAAAGGAGAAGCCGAAGCTCTGTGTGCCGAGTTGAATAGAAAAGGATTTGTGGATGCCTGCATCACAGCTGACAGTGATGCTTTTCTGTTTGGCGCCAAATGTGTAATTAAAAGCTTCCATCCCAATTCAAAAGCAAGTATTCTTATCTATACTTGTCTTCTTTTATAAGTAGCTTCTTCTTACCATTTTCTCTTGAATATCATAGGAACCACTTGAATGCTACTTCATGTCAGATATTGAAGCTGCTCTTGGGTTAAAAAGGAAACACTTGATAGCTATCTCTCTCCTGGTTGGAAATGACCACGACTTAAATGGCATGCAAGGAGTTGGACTGGATACTGCTGTTCGTTTCGTACAAGATTATACCGAAGATGACATTTTAAACAAGTAATATTTAGCTTGCATTTTTTTTTCGAAATACCTATAAGGATATTTTATGATTTTTATTCGGTAATTTAACCGTGTTTGGCTGCTGAGTGTTATGCAGATTGCATGTAATAGGAAAGGAGGATAATACGAGTCTTCAGGGCGGACAATCTTCGGATACGAACTCAAGAAAGGTTAAGTGTTCTCACTGTTCCTTCTGTGGTCATCCAGGCAGCAAAAGAGACCATGTTAAGTTCCCTTGTGAATACTGTGATGTGAGTCATGGAAGTTGTTGCATCAAAAAACCTGATGGATTTAAATGCAATTGTTCCTCTTGTGATACGGTACCTCATCGGCACATCTCTCTGATTGATTTTACTCTGCTTTGTGGTCTGCATGAATCATATTTTTTTAGCCTTCGTGCTAACAACTACCGTTATGTTTTAAAATGTGAGATCCCATATCGGTTGGAGAAGGGAACAAAACATTCCTTATAGGGATGTAGAAACCTTAGAAACATCTCCCTAACGTACATGTTTTAAAAATCTTGAGAGGAAGCCCGAAAGGGAAAGCTTAAAGAGGACAATATCTACTAGCGGTGGGCTTGACTGTTACAAATGGTATTAGAGCCAGACACCAGGTGGTGTACCAGCGAGAACGCTAGGCCCCAAGGGAGGTTGATTGTGAGATCTCACATCGGTTGGAGACTAGAGCGAAACATTTCCTTTAGGGGCGTGGAAACCTTGGAAACCTCTCCCTAACAAACGCGTTTTAAAAACCTTGAGGGAAAGTTCGAAAGGGAAAGCCCAAAGAAGACAATATCTGCTAGTGGTGGGCTTGGACTGTTACAAATGGTATCAGAGCCAGATACCAGACGGTGTGTCAGTGAGGACACTAGGTCCCCAAGGGGGGTGGATTGTGAGATCTCATATCTGTTGGAGAAGATAACGAAACATTTCTTATAAGGGTGTGGAAACCTTGGAAACCTCTCCGTAAGAGATGCGTTTTAAAAACCTCGAGGGAAAGTTCGAAAGGAAAAATTCAAAGAGGACAATATCGGCTAGCTGTAGGCTTGGGCTTGGGTTGTTACATAAAAGCTTATGCTTTATTTGCTTCCTTTACTTAGCAACATGTGTATTGGTTTTTGTGCTATATTGTCTAAAAGACATTTTTCCGTTTTTTCGGTTCACGATTAACAGGATCGAGAAGAGAAAGAGAAAAAGAAGCAAGAAAATTGGCGACTACGAGTTTGCAACAAGATTGCTATGGAGCCCAACTTTCCCAGTAGTGAACTTATTCAAATGTATCTGTGTGACAATCATAGTTATTTTAGTGGTATGAGTTAAAGTGTTTGCTTTTTGATTATCTTAGCATGTGTCTAAGATTCTCTTGAATAAACTTATGAACATATTAGATTCTTATCTCATTTTTTTCTCTTTCTAATGCAGATGATGACCTTATCTTATCTTGGGAAAGCCCGAAAACTGAAATTCTGATTGATTTTTTAGTTTTTCATTTACGGTGGGAGCCATCTTACATTCGTCAGAGGTTGCTTCCCATGCTATCCACCATTTTTCTCAGAGAAATGGCTAATAATCCAATTCAAACTTTGTTATACGACCAGTACGAATTCGATTCTATACTTAGAGAAAAAATAAGATATGGACATCCATTTTATGTCGTCAAATGGAAAAGGGCCATCCCGGTGCTCGACAATGTTGTATATGAAGGCTATTCGGAGGGACTCGGCACCGGGCCGGAAGATGCCATTGATGTCGACGAACCAGTGGATCTAACAGATGAATTTGATTCCCCCAAAATTCATATTCAAGAAGGGTGCTCGTTTCTATTGACCGATGAGAATATGGACCTTGTTCAAGCTGCTTATCCCGAACAAACTGCTAAGTTTTTGCAGGAAAAGGTAATCATCATCATCATTTGTTTTTGTGTTCCCTGTCTTGTTCTTGTGTTGTAATGCTGTGGTTTTGATCTGCTATACCATTGAGGTTGGAATGACTGAGCTCTAAAGACGAAATTTTCTTGAATTAAAGGAAGTGAAAAGGCAGAAGACACCAACCACGACGCCACCTAGCGAGGCTAGTGGAAAGTCCGATTCATTGAAAGCAAAAGGTGCCCAGTTAAGTATTACTGAGTTCTACCGTGCAACGAAAACGCAACAACAAACAGCAGAGACAACAGATTTGCCGAATGAGGGCGAGGAGACGAGTACGGAGAAGAGGAAAGCATCAAGTTCTTCGACGCTTTCGAAGTCAGTAAGGCGTCGCCTTTTGTTCGACTAGAACTCAGTTAAGTATAGAGCTCTACCATGCAGCGAAAACACAACAACAAACAGCAGAGGCAACAGATTTGACAAATGATGAGGACAAGGAGACGAGCACAGAAACGAGGAAAAAGCATATCAAGTTCTTCCACACTTTCGTGGTCGGTAAGGCATCGATTTTTGTTTGAGTAGAACTGTTTGAGATGTTGCGCTTCCTGTGTGTTGATGAAGTGCAAATGCTACAGTTTATAATGTGTATAGTTCCTAATCTCTACATCTTTTGAGCTTTCTTTTGTTAAGCCTTCATTGGTGCTTGAAATGCTGTAATTAGTCCCTATAATTGGATTAAATATTTCCTAATGTTATTGACAATTACTAATAATTTAGCCTAACTTATTTTTAATAATTGCACGATCAATAATACATAAATAATAATCAAAGATATTCTTTGTACAAGTGTGAGATCACACATGGATAGGAGAGGAGAACAAAACATTCTTTATAAGAGAGTGAAAAGTTCTCCGACAAACATGTTTTAAAACAATGAAGCTGATACACGCAATAGCGTAAAACAGACAATATTTGCTAGCGTTGACTTTACATAAGGAGTAGAACGGAGATATATATCAATAAAACAAATTAGGAGGAAAAAATTGTCATATTTGTAATTAGAAAGCCAAGTGAATGTTTTTTTTAAATAAATAAAATTTTATAAGGAAAAAGAGAGATTTTGAAAGTCATAAATTTATTATTAAAAAATTAGTTATTATTTAAAAATAACAACTTATCCATTTTCCAAATAAAAAAAAAAACAAAACTTTATTCTTAACATTTGGCAGTTGGAAAATAAAAATTCGTTATAAAAAAAAAATAGTAATTATTTAATAATAATAAATATATATGCTGAATTAAAAAAAAAAAAGGAAGAAAATTGAGCAAATTTAAAACCACAAGAAGTGTATGATTAATTTTGTCCGATTCCAAGCATGTTGAAAGTAAAAATCAAACAACCTTCCTTATCAACCACTTAAAAGAAAATGGTAATAATTTTCTAAACATGGAAATTTATTAGCATCATTGTTCAACACTTATCTAATCACGAAAGAAAACAAAAAGATAAGGATTACCTACAACTCTATAGCTGTATTGTATTGAGTTAGCAACACAATGATTTCTTACGATCAACGTGTCGGTTTTTGCTCACTAGGTGTAACAACACAAATCTAGCGCTATCAGATATTGTCCGTTTTGGCCTTATCGCCATTAGCCTCACAGTTTTAAAATGTGTATGAGGAATGCTGGGTTCCTTTCTCCAACTGATGAGAAGTCTCACAATCCACCCCCCATGGGAGCCTAACGTCCTCGTTGGCACACCACCTTGTGTTTGGCTTTAATACCATTTGTAACAGCCTAACCCCACCGCTACCAGATATTGTCCGCTTTGGCCCATTATTTATCGTCATCAGTCTCTCGATTTTAAAACGAGTTTGTTAGGGAGAAGTTTCCATACTCTTATAAGGAATACTTCGCTCTCAGTTCCATCTGATATAGAATCTCACACCAGGTCACAGGTCACACCACTATACGACGAACCCATGATCAAGACTACATACTATGCTCGTACAATAGTTCAAATATAATTGGTATTCAACAAATTAGTCACAAAAAAGGAACATATATGGTAGTCTTCTTTTGCATTAAGTATGATGCCAAATTGGTAGTTTTAGGATGCCAAATTTACAACAAATGCCATTAAAAGCAGCCATCATTTAAATAAAACATAAGCTTTAGATTCATTCATGTTCTATAATCTCTCTCTTGGAGGATGGAATTGACAAAAAAATGGATGCTATACGAAGAACTCAGAGTTTTGGTGGTTGATCATGATTCTACAACTCTAAAAATTGTCTCCAAAATGCTTGGAGTATGTGGATATGAAGGTAACATTTGGTATTTTATTGTTCAATTTTTTTTTTAAAAAAGTGTTTTTTAGGTTCATCATTTTCAATTTTGATGCGTAGTTTTTTTTTTTTTTGTTCGTGTTCATAGTTAATGATAAAATAACGATTTTATATTTATGTTCTTAAAATTGTTATACAATTTCAAAAAATAAGATAATGAATAAATGCTTATGTTTCTAAAAAAATTAGAAAATAGAAGCGAGAAATGAGAACTAAGAATGTTAAGAGTGTTCATGAGTTGAATTTAGATCGAGTTGCAAATTTTTAAACTAAAACAATTTAATTAAATTGTTCAAATCATTTGAATAAAATGTATATTTTCTGAACATTTAATTAAGATTTACCATTCAATTTCAACTTATATTTTTTAAAAATTACCTTTTAAATAGTCTTAATCGTTAGATATAGAGAGTAAATAATAAAAATATAATTATGAAAATAAAATAAATATATGCATATACTATTTTGAAATTAGCAATAAATTTAGTTTACCAAATTTAATTTATAAAATTTTGATTTATTTTAACTCAATAAATTCAAACGATTGGATGGTTTAGTTTCACTGTTCTTACGTTTGTTTATTTTTCTGTGGGCAGCTGTGATGGCTAAATGCGCCATTGACGCTTTGAGGATAGTGAAAGAGAGAAAAAATGATATCCATCTCATTTTAACAGATACCCATTTGCCTGATATGGGTAGATATGAACTCCTAGAGAAGATTATGGAGCAAACATCCACATTGCCAATTGTTAGTAAGTTTTTAATTTTTAAATCTTCGTATAAATAGAAATAGTGTTCTTTCTCAGACTTTCTTCTTTGGAGTTCTCGAACAGCCTACTCTTAATCGAGATTCGATTCGATTCTTCCTTTGGAGCCCTCGAACAAAGTACACTATTCCCTTGAGGCTTTCCTTCTCTAGAGCTCTCGAATAGCTTCTCCTTAATCGAGGTTTGACTCCTTCTCTGGAGCCCTCAAACAAATAACGTACACTATCTGTTCGACATTTGAGTCACATTTAACTACACATGTGAGACTCACAACTGTTTATTCAACATTTGAGGATTCTATTGGCATGACTAAGTTAAGGGTATGACTCTGATACCATATCTCTCCAAAATAAAAAAATAAAAAAAACCTTGTACCAATGGAAATAGTGTTAGTTATAAACCTATAATTTTCCTCTTAATTAGCCATTGTGGGACTACTCTCGATAATTCTCAAGAAAAATAATATTTTCACTTAATTGCATTGTCCTTTCTCAAACGCATTCTTAACCTTGTTCGTCTTTTGTTAGCTATGACCACCGATGACAACGAGATTGTAAAGTTGGGTTGCCTCTTCAAAGGAGCTATGTTGTGTCTCGTAAAGCCACTCACCATGAAAAACATAAGAGATCTTTGGCAATTTTTATTTATCGGAGGAAGAGAACGATCCATCTCTATTAGAACATCGAATCAAGTTCAAAAAGAATTGACCGATGAAAATGATGTAGACAAGAGTACCGACGAGAAATTCCAAAAGACCAAAAGGAAAGAACACAACGAAGATGTTAGTACTCGACAGGTAGAAGGAGATGGTAGTGATTCAACACGGCCGAAGAGGCCAAAGCTAATTTGGACTCAACAATTGCATAAGACATTCTTGCAAGCCATTGAAGCACTGGGAGTTGATAGTGAGTGTTTTTTTTTCTTCTCATCTACGTAAGATTAAAGATCGTCTAACTTTGTTTTTCTTAACTTAGAAGCTCATCCAAAGGAGATACTTCAACACATGAATGTTCCTGGATTAAGAAAAGAAAACGTTTCGAGTCATTTACAGGTAAAAGTTTCATTATGAGTTAAATTATCATAATTAGACTACATTTTTCGGTCTATACTTCAAAATTTTGAATTGACTATTAAATTTATGATTACGGGAATGTCTGGTTAGCATTTTGTAGTTCGAGTAACAGTAGACCTAATTGTATGTAATATACAACATAATTCAAAGTCTAAGGACTAAACCGATACTATGAAGCAAATTTATAATATAACTAATCTTCTTCTCTTGTAGAAGTTTCGTTTCTCGTTAAAACAAGATCAAGATGTAAAAAAGAAACCTTTTAAAAGTTTCGAGACAGCTCAGATTCCTAACCACCGAACGAAATTGCCCATCAATGTCGATATTTTCATGGCTAAGCCTCAAGAAACTCAACCTCAACCGTACAACAATCTATCTCCAACTTCTATCAACTCCAATCTTATGGGAATTTGTGATGTGGTAAGTTTGGAAAGTTGTTTTTCTAAGGTGATTACGAGCCAGACATGTTCGATGAACTCTACACGTCGACGATCGCTAGAAGATCAAGACAGACGACAATGGTTTGAATGTAATAGAAAAGAAATGACTTCAACCATGGTGGAAGAACAAGGACATTGCGAGTCAACGATGGTGGAAGAACAAGGACATTGCATGTTTAAGGTTGATGAAGAACTTGATGGAGTTCTTGATGTTCATGATTTACTTTTCTAAAGAAACTTTACTATTGTTTATGTTCATGATGATCTTTGCCATAGCTAATTTGTTCGGGATAATAAAAGGAAGATGCGAGGTGGGTATTGAGTAAGGTCATATGATGATAAAGATAACATTAATATATTTGATATTTGAATTTACGTTTATCCTAACCTCAATACTTTCATTAACTTTCTCGCTCGTCTCTCTCTCATTTGCACAAGTCTATTGTGAAAACGCTGCAAGAGTTTCGGATTTTTTTCGATGTCAAAAACAATCGAGAGATGCCAAAAAAAGCATAAGGAAAGATTGTCTCGACACAAAGTTATTATTGAGTCGGTTGATAGAAAAGTTTATCATAACCTCATTACTTCCATCTTCAATCAATTTCCTCTGTCTTCTCTCTATCATTTGCACAAACCTATGGCAAAAACCCGACAAGAGTTTCAGGTTTTTTCGATACCAAAAAATAATCGAGAGAGTCCAAAAAAGCATAAGGGAAGATTATGCCTTATGTTTAGATGGGAAGTTTTTTTTTTTTTTTTTTTCCATTAGATAATTCTTCGGGGATGAGATTATATTCTTCTTTTCTGCCCAATTCTCTGTCATGTCATGTCCTGTCCCTACAAATTCTTTATGCAAAATTCTCGTCTCTATTCCACAAAATTAAATGGAGAATTATGGAAGGATGAGGAATGAAATAGAGGCGGGGATGGGAACAAGGAAACCTTCCCCATCTCTGTCTGCCCCGCCCCGTGGACATCTCTAATGATTGTATGTACATAAAACTAACGACTTTCATCGTCTCCAACTTTCCTTCTCCTTCTTGGAGACCAGAGCAGGTTGACGAAAGAACTCTTGCCCTTGAGTCTACTCACGAGAAACTTCCTCGACACCCTTCTCCTACTGCAAGTGAGTCTACTCGATGATCCATAAACGACACTGATTAGGATATGAAAGAGGACGTCATGGCTTTTAGTTGAGATAGGAATGACTCCGAGAAGCGTCAACCTTGGACTTGTAATCGACTTCACCAGATCTAACTTTGTTAGAGAACCTTTTGTTTAGGTTTATCCGTCATCCTTTTTCTTTGTTCATTCTCCATTGTCGTCATCATCATAGTTGCAAATTTTATTGTTTTAGAGTCATGGATATGGCTTCACCCCAGACAATGATTCATGAAGATCTTTTTAATACAGATAACTTTCCATCGACATCTTACAAAAAATTTATATCGGATCCATCCATCTTTACATGAACCCATAGAACTCGCAGATTTTAAAAAGTTACAGGTAAAAAGATAATATATTTTAAAAAGCTACAAATTACACGTTTTTTATTGTGTTTTTTCAACAATTTTGATAATGTGAGCAAAAATTTAAAGGATTTTGATTTCTAACAACATTCGTGGAGACTAGCGAGTAGTTATTCTTTCGTCATTCATCTTGCTTTTTTCTGCAATTCTTTCGTCAATAGTGAGAGAAGGAAGATGGAAGCCATGGTAGGAGCCCTGCAATTCTTCCGTGGATGAAAATTCCCTCTCCTCTGCAACCAGCGCTGCCTTCAACGACTATGGCGACGAGTCGATGCACGAGGGCACGATTGAAATGGTGGAGGAGAAGATGAAGGGTTGCTTTATTAAGAATAAGCGGGTTAAACGTGTGTCACCATCGGCGGGAGCTATGGCGGAGGAAAGACAAGTGCATCGTGATAATCGGTTTGGTGCGGCGGCGAATGGTTTCGATCCTGATGTTGAGAGATTGCGGGCGTTGGACCTTATTTCCAAGTTTCATGCGTGAGGCACTGACGTTGCCGAGTTTGAAACTCGAGCATTCTGGTGAGCTTCTGTACATTACAATTTGTGTTATAGGCATTGTTAAGAACTTTTGATTCTTCAATTAGCATTGCTAAGTGGAAATCGAAATTGAGGCAATTGGAGCCTTGTGGTTCAATTTACATTAGGAAGATACTGAGCACATTCTTTGCCTCATTATGGTTCTGCCCTTGTGATGATCCGTTTCTGGAAGTTCTTCATGCGCTTATCAAGATTGAAACTATTTTGTCTCTATGGAAGGTAAAAGTTCAAATAAAGTTATCCATAAAAGAGTTAATACTTTAGACAAGTTTTCGAGGAAGATAACTCTGATTGAGCCGTGTTGTTGCATTCTTTGTCGGAGGGTAGAGGAAGACCTTGATCACATTCTTTGCACTTGCAGCTTTGCTCGGACTGTTTGTAGTCTCTTTTTTAAGGTACATGGCTTTCAGTTTGCTAGGCACAAAAGGTTTTAGGGGATGGTTGACGAGTTCCTTCTCCATCTGCCTTTCTGTGAGAAACGAAAGCTTTTGTAGGAAGCGGGTGTGTGTTCTGTGTTGTGGGGTTTATAGGGTGACATGAATAATAGGACCTTTAGAGGGATTGAGAGGGACCCTAGTGATTTTTGGTCCTTGGTTAGGTTCTATGTTTTTCATTGAGGTCAGTGTCAAAGTTTTTTGTAATTATTCCTTAGGTCGTATATTGATTCATTGGAGCCTGCTAGACTTCCTTAGATTACTAAGTGATCCCTTTTGCCGAAGATCTGAGCTGAATCGATGCCAACAGGGTTCGATCATGCCTTTGTCAAGAGTCGATATGTTAACGGTTTTGTGCTATTTTCTTTCCCCACATGGCATGATGGAAGGATTGCTTTGTTGAAGAGCAGTATCGCAGCTGATATAAAATAGGCAGGGTGTTGGAGCGCGATCAACTGCTACATAAAGGCTGAGGTTGACTTCTCTTAACTGTTTTATCTTGTGTATTGTATTGCATAGTCGGGTATTGAGGCCTCATTCATTGCATCATGACCATCGCCCACTCCTCTGGTCTTCAATTTTTGAGGATGCTTCGGTGAAATTCCACATCGGTTGGAGAGGTGAACAAAACATTTTTTATAAGGGTGTGAAAACCTCTCCCTAACATGCACGTTTTAAAACCGGCAAAGCCGGAAAGAGAAAACTTGAAAAGGACAATATCTGCTAGTGGTAGGCTTGAGCTGTTACAAATGGTATCAGAGCCAGATATTAGGCGGTGTGCCAGCGAGGATGCTGGGCCTCGAATGGGGTGGACACCGAGTAGTGTGCCAGTGAGGACGCTGGTTCTCGAAGAGGGGTAGATTGTGAGATCCCACATCGATTGGAGAAGGCAACGAGTGTCAATGAGGACGCTAAGCCCTAAGGATGGTAGATTGTGAGATCCCACCTCGCTTGGAGAAGGGAACGAAACAATTTTTATAAGGGTGTGAAAACTTTTTCTAGCAGACACGTTTTGAAGCCTTGAGTGAAAGTTCAAAGAAGACAATATATGTTAGCGGTGGGATTGGTTTGTTAGACTTCGCCATTCCTGAAGCAGTTTTAGCATACTACTAAAATTTTGATTCATTAATGATTTCATTGAGCTTAATCTTCCTCCATGTAGTCTTAATTGTGTGCTTTGAATGGTACAGTACATTTTCTTGAATGGACCCAATGTTTCGTAAGTTACTTTCGTGCCTGTAGCAGTTCTACAAATGTAGAAATTGATGATGTAAACTTCTGGTTTAATAAAATTGCAACCCCACTCTTTTAATGTCTGTTGTTTATTTGAGTTCTTTGAAAAATCTGCAAGTTGCCAAATTGTTCTTTGAATGTGATAGTTTATTAAGATATTTCACATTGTTTACATCCCTAAATATCTGTAGAATTCAAACTTATACGTTTATTTAAAGCATCTCATTTCTTCAATATGTGCCGGTGAGAGGGCCTTCTCTATGAACGAACATTCTGGTCTAGATATCAGTTAAAATCTTCATTGCTTCAAGTTCTGTCAAACTTTCATTTGATATATGTTTGAACGAGGTAGAAACTCATGGAAATATCCACAACATTATGAGAATTCATTGCATTGTTTTAGAAGGCCTGAATCTACACTACGCAATGCCAAAAAAATATGGAAACAATGATTTGTACAAAGTATGTGATGTTCAATTGTATATAATCATGCTCCTACCTACTCAGCAGTGAAACCAAGAAGAAAATATTATGTACTCATTGTCTTGTTGTCATCTCTCTTCCAACTGTGGGGTTTACAGGAACGGATTCAAGCTGTTCTTGACTGCTTGTGTTGCCAAGTTGAAGCCAGTTTTGAGAATGATGATCTGTTGAAATCTCAGAACCATCAAAAGACTGATCTCTGCTCACTGTCATTGGTATTACAGGTTTTGTTCTAAAAGTGTCTTGCAATGGCAGCCTGCAAACTGGACAGGTAGATTGCTTTCTCAGCCATACATCAATGCAGGAGAGATGAAAACTGTGACCACATTTGGGTATTATTCTCAGTACTTCCTTCTCTTCATACTCACTCAAACAGATTGAGCACCTGAAAAATGAAACAAAATGAACCATAGTTTAGTAGGTCAGGCTCAAGCCTACCACTAACAGATATTGTCTTCTTTGGACTTTCCCTTTCCGGCTTCCCCTCAAGGTTTTTAAAACGCGTATGCTAGGGAGAGACCCTTATAAAAGAATGTTTCGTTTTCTGAGAGTGGTTAACACACTCTTATAAAGAATGTTTCATTCTCTAGGAGATGTTTCCACACCCTTAATAAGAATATTTCGGTTTCTGAGGTTTTCACACCCTTATAAAGAATGTTTCATTCTCCTCTCCAACTAATATGAGATTTCACAGATAGAGTCACATCTTTCTAAGTATAACTATGAATTCATCGTTGGTAATGAATTGAAAGTTGTACTCACTGAGCATCTTCTATAGAACTGAAAGCCTCCAGGTCGAACTTCATCGTTGGTATAGCAGCTATGAGAACCGGTTCGAGACCACTCACCCGAGACTCTGGCTGGCATCAAACAGCAAAGAATCAAGAGACTTGTCATTTTGTCATATACAGATGTAAGGCAATGGAAGTATGGTACAATTCTAATCTTTGGCTACTTTACTGAATACCATATGATGATTAACCAATGAGATTCATGATCTACAGAAATACAAATTACACACTGCAGATCCGGATTAAGAGAAAAGCAGCCACTATTTCTTACCTGCTGCTCAAGATCAACTCTGGATTCAATTTCGTAATTGGGGGAATTGGAGTGAGATGAACGAAGTCGACCACAGATGATTCTTGTACAGACAAACACTATGAATGTGGCACTCATTCCAAACCCAATAACAGTGGTAATCAAGTTCATACCAGAACTCGGCATATTCAAATCCCTCAAATCTCAAAACCCCAGCTGGAAAAACCTCAGAAACTGCAGAATTAGACGAGGGAAAGAAAGGGAATTGGGGAAAGCAGTGAAGAAAGATGAAATGGATGGAAGGGAAAGAAGATGGCTGTTCTGCTCATTGGGATCGTTGTCGTGGCGGGTCCATTTAGCTTTAGAAGGCTGCTTCTTATCGAAGGATTGAAGAAAGATGGTGTCAGAAATGACGGCAAAAAGTCAGAAACGGTGGAAAAAGAAGACCGATGTTGAAGAGATTCTTCTTCTTGTTGTTCTTGTTCTTCTCAAAGGGCTAACGAGCGATGGTAGGCTAAACAGAATCTCAAGGTTTGATCTTTCTCTTTCTATTATGCTCTGTTTCTCTGTGGGTTTTTCCTTTGATTGCTTTCTGAGTTTTGGCCACTTTTGGATAAGACCACTGAGATTATCTGGAGCAACTGTTCTTGTCCACGCCTTTTCTTTTGGGCTTCATTTATTTGTTTTACTGTGTGCTTATTATTAGGGCTGTGTAGAAAGAAATTAATGCACCTAGTCTAACCTTTTTATCCTTGAACTTCATGAGGGCAGTTGATTTTAACTCCATCTTTTCAATTTTATTGATTTAAACTTCTGATTGAATAAGATCTTGACGTTTTGGTCAATATACGTGCAAACTATAGTTAAGTTGTCCTCAAATAACACTTTTTTTAACGTTTCGGGTAATGATATAGTTACAAATTACAGCTAAGTTGTTCTTAAGTTGACACTTCTTTATAACCTTTTACTTGGATGAATATTGTATTAAAAAAAGTGAAGGCTCCAAAGAGAAACTGACAGAAATAAGATTTTTGTTGAAATAGGGAGTTTGGTTGATAATCAGATTGATTAGGTTTTGGTTGTTGTTATATTAATGATGTTTTTTTTTGTTTGTTTTTCTTTTGAGGATAAGGGTTTGATTTGGGTTCAAATGAGGAAGTTTGGTAGATTTTTATGTTTTTTCTTTTATTTTTATGGAACTTAGTGGATGAATGGACCAAAAGTTGGTTCTGAATTAAAAATGTTTGGCTTAATATATGTTTTTTTCTTAATAATTATGATTTTTTTTTTTATGGATCTTATACTTTTAACCTTTTTTTACCCTTAGGAAAGTTCCATAAAAATTAAAAGGTGTGGAATCGCAAATTTTTCTAGAGGAATTTTCACTAAAACAAATGAAAAATGAAATAGGTGGTGGTGATGGAGACTCGATCCTCAAAAATTTTATGAGGGAAATTCCTACTCCAATTTCCGTAAAAATAAATGAAATTTTTTATAGGGATGAAGAATGGAATAAATGGCGAGGAAGGCTTCCTTGTCCCTGCCCCACCCTGTGGACCTCTCTAGTCGACATTGTGGATGTAAATATCTTGTATCTTATGAATGTCCATTTTTATTATCTATCTCCGTTTATAGCTAATGATTTAGATAATTATAATATAATTAGCATGCGTTCTAAAAACTTTTATTAAAAAAAAAAAAAAAAAAGTAATGGACACATTTTTATTAAAAATTGAAATTATTGGAAAGTTGTAAAAAAGTAGCAATGTTACAATAATTGGAACATTTGAATGATGAAGAAACAAATCATTCCACCATATGAAATCCAAAATTGAAGAACTAAAATTGGTAAGTGATGAGTTATAAACGGTGTAAAGTGATGGTTGTCTACTTTTGCGTTGGACCATAGGAAGCACAACAAGTCATCCCATGATATTATTTATGGTATGTCATAATCCATAACATACTCCACTTACATTCTTTTAAGCATTTTATTTTTAATTCCTCAAATTACCCTCCAATAGGGATTTTTCAATTCTTTTTCAAGTCCACATTTCATCTACACCTTCAAATCTTGGGATAGCATTCAATTGTGTTCGTATTTACTCATGAAACTCATCTGGATAATCAAAACCCAAGTCGATTTCATCTCCAGGGAGGAGAGGTAGATGTTGAAGTTGTGAGGTCAAAGAACCAAAAATATAGACCTTGAAGAGTGAGTTCGAGGCTATTCGTATGAAGATTGGTGAGTCAAGAGACGACTTTGTCATGAAATTCACGACGATCATTGCCTGCATTTGTTCCTTAGGCAACAGGGTCGAGGAGATCTTCGTCGTCAAAAAGTTCCTTTGAGTTGTCCTCTCGAGATTCATGCAGATTGTTACCTCCATTGAGCAATTTTGTGACCTCAAGAATATGTCAATTGAGGAGGTTGTTGGTCGTCCTAAGATCCATGAGGAGAGACTTCCTGGCTACGGAAATAGAGAGGAGGAGAAGCATCTCTTACTCACACACGAGGAGTGGTTCGCAGAGAAGGAAAGATGCAACAAATTATTCATTTTCAGGTACTAAGGGACATGGCAACGACAACAAGAAAAGTAAAGGTCATGGGTGTGGCCACGGTCGTGGACATAGATGTGCGATAGAGGAGGTCGTGACAAAACCTCACAAACCCATGACAATGCCAACTCCTGGAATAATAAGATCATACTCAAGTGCTATACTTCCGAAAAATACGAACATTATGCAGTAGAGTGCCGCAACCAGGAGCACGATGAGAAGGCAAGCCTCCCATTCACGAGTGATGAAGAGCCTGCATTGATATTGGCTGAGAAAATGTCCAACTTGTTGATGCTCAAGGTTGAAGAGAAGGTTATAGTGAACCTTCTTGCATATGGAGAAGACCAAATGGAGACCAACACATGACATTAGAGATCGATCAAAATTCAAGAAGCTTGATAAGAAGTTCATTGGAAACATGAAGCTTGGAGAAAGATTAATTGTACGGGTACTTGGATGTTAGGTCCAATTCTTTTCCATTCTTCTAAAACTTAGCCCCCAATGTGATTATCAAATTTTTAGGGGATTTCCTATCGTGATTAACCAAGAATGCATCCTGGCTCGTCACTTGAGAAATTAGAATTCTTTTTATATCTTTCTTTATAATTCTTGTTTTGTGTTCAAGGCATGGCAAGAAAAACTGTGTTAAAGGCTCCTAGATTCGAATCACTAGAACATAAGAAGTAGACCCTACTAGACGTGTTTTTCCATATTTCACATTCCATAGAGTATATTTATTTATTCAAAATCGCTTTTAAATTGATATTCGAATTGTTTAGAATCATGTAATTTCCATGTACAGTTTGCCGCTATGTACAATGCTTCTAATAGTGCTCATGATGGCAACGGAAACAAATACTTTAAATACTGAGTCACACAAATACTTTGAATTTACGTTGCAAAAACCCACGTGACACAAGATTAAGATCAAGATTTGGAATCTAAATTTGACATCAGATGACTCTGACATCTCCCTACATCTCTTACGACATGGTTATATTAGTTACTCCTCACTTCTAAAAGTAAAGATTATCTTCGTGGAATACTGAGTCCTTCAAAAATTATTTTTAAAATAAAACTATTTACTCACTATTCTTTAAAATATGTATTAATTCAATCCATATTATAAAAATTATTTTTATGATTTATAAAAGTGTAGAACAATAATAATAAAAAATTGAAATAGACTTATTTTAAATGGAATGAAGTGAAATAAATAAATTATATTTAATTTTAAAAATATAATATGTATGATTAATTTTTCAATGGGACCATAATGTTTTTGTAATTCACTCCATCTCTTATTTAATTTATGTTGATTAACCAAAATTAATATAATTAATTTATTTAATTATAATACATGATCTAAAATTAAATAATATAATAAAATGGATAAAATTACTTTATTTACATAAGAGTTTTAATACTATTTTACATTAAACAGATATCTGATAAAATTACTTTATCTCGATTTAATTTGTTTTAATTTATTGTCTAAACATTATATATAATATTACGTATATTACATGAGATAGCGAGCCGACACTGAACGCCGTCACATCAACGTTGTTCGAAGCCCGAGGGCGTGTTCCCACGCGTCTAGATCCACGCGCCCTCCCGTAGACGTGGACGTGTTTCTAGAGTCTCTCGGGTTGCTGTCAGTACGCTTGTAGGCAGCTTTTTTTTTGCCCCATCATTTTTCGTATTTTAAAAAACCCCCCCAATCATTTTCTTAATTATAAAACGACGCCCCGATTTTAACTTTTTCTCTAAATTTTCATATTTCTGTAAATATTTCGCCAAGTTAAAAAAATATTTGATTTCTTTTCTAGAAACATTTGATAAGATTTTCCTTTTGGAAATAATAGTGTTAAGAAGGACAAATAAATAAAAAAAAATAATTAGTAAAATCTTTTGAACCAACTCGAGCAAACGGAAATTTGGGTTAAATTTTTTTTAATTATTTAAAAAAAATTTAATTATTCATAATACAGGTTGAATTAATAAGTAAACCCTACAAATCTCAAATATTCTTCATTTTCATAATAATCTTAATATTATGGTATGATCGAATTGAATTGTAACTCTATTATCGGGTTTCGAACAAAAAGAAATGTTAATCCATGAATAGATCTTCATTTTCAACTATCCAAGAGTCCAACCGAACCCATTTAAAAAAAAAAAAAAAATTAACCCAACTAACTTTTATAATTTGAGTTTCTAATTTTTTTTTAATGATATGAATTCATAGGCATAATGAATATATATATATAATTTGTAAATAATTATTTATCTAAAAAAGTATATTCACATAAAAAAAAAAACGAATAAATATATTTTGGTCAATGTATAGACAAAACAGCCCTTGATACTTATCCTAGTTTAAAAGTCAGGTGGCAAATTCGAAAATTTCTAGATCCTCAAGGACCCAGTCGTAATTTCACATTCACCACTTCACGCTTTCCGAAAATTTATCTTCTCACACGTGGGTCGAGAAAAAGAAACGTAAACACAATTACAGAAGTCGTTTCAAAATGTGCCACGTCATCACTTTCCAAACCATATTCAAATTTCATCTCAACGGTTAGATTCTCTGCAACAATGTCCAATCTCCACCGTCCGATCCTGAATCACATTCCATATTTGACATCTTATGATCAATCCACCGTCCGATCCTCAATCGCGTTCTACATTTAACATCTCATTCCCTTTTCCCAAACAACTCCAACCCTCTCTTTCGCTCTCCACAAACCAACCTGAGAAGAAGACACGAAGCTTCCACTACAAACAGAGATATTCATTGAACTTTGATTCTTAAACGTTTGTTGTTGTTTGTACCCACATCTCTCTTTCGTCCGATACTTTGTTTTTTAAAAAAATTTGTATCTTTTTTTACCGTTTCGTGTTCCAGAAATCAAATTTTGTTTCTGGGTTTCTTCCAATTTCTTGAAACTGCGCCAGATTCAAAGCAGTAGCAAAGATCATTACAGTTTTCAGTGTCTTTAAGGTTAGTTCTTGATGCTTATGCTCTGTTTCTCTGTTTCATTCATGCGATGTGAGGTTTTTCCAAATGGGTTTCTGCAGAACTGTCATTTTAATGGCTTTGAATGCCTTTGAAGCTCGATTATGTTACTTTTCTACTCATTATTTCATGGGTTTTACTGAATTTTTCAAGAACAAATGGAGTGTCACCCTTTCCCCTACCTTCTCTTCAAAGGAAAGTCTCTCTCTCTCTCTCTCTCTCTCTCTCTCTCTCTCCTCTTTCTCTCTCTTAAATGAGGCTAAAACTGTAAATATTGCTAAGTTAGCAGCTGACCCTTTTCCTCAAGAAAACGAGGGCCGTTGGATTTTGATCGTTTGCAGTCCACCGTCGGGCAAAGATTAGAAATTTTGTGGGATTTTTGCAGTGTCGGCTGTTTTCTGTTGGAGGGATTTGTGGGGGCTTTCTTTGATTCTTCCATGCTCTTCTCTTTATGCTTTGCCCATTTGGCTTTTGTTTTGTTTTTTGTTGCCTAACTTTAAAGTAATTCCCCAAATAATTTATAATTTCCTTGTTTATGATTGCAACTGCTCCACTTCCTTTGCCCCATTTCCACACATTTGAGTTTCCTTTTTGTTTTGAGTTTCCCAGATCAGAATTATGGTGGAAGAGGCAGGTGTTGATCGGGGTTCCGGTCGGGCGGCGGAGGCGGCGGAGGCAGCGGAGCCGCTTGAATTGTGGCTGTTGCAAGCTCAGAAGCTTGTTCCTCTGACTCTGGAGAAGGCTATGGAGGTTAAGGTGTTTCCTGGGAGGTGGAAGATGATTGTTTCGAAGCTCGAGCAGCTCCCTTCGCGGTTGTCGGATTTGTCGAGCCATCCATGTTTTTTGAAGAATGCTCTTTGTAAGGAACAATTGCAGGCTGTTTTGAAGACATTGAAGGAAGCCATTGCATTGACTGAGCTCTGTCTTGGGGAGAAATTCGAAGGCAAGCTTCGAATGCAGAGCGATCTCGACTCGTTGTCTGGGAAATTGGATTTGAATTTGCGCGATTGTGGCCTTTTGATTAAGACGGGCGTGCTCGGTGAGGCTACTTTGCCTCTGTCTGTGTCGGGGTGTTCGTCGCAGTGGGAATCTACTGACTATAGCAGCATAAAGGAACTGCTTGCTAGGCTGCAGATTGGTCACATGGAATCGAAACACCGAGCGCTCGATAGCCTTGTCGAGATTCTTAAAGAGGATGACGATAATGTTTTGTCGATCTTTGGTCGGAATAACGTTGCTGCTTTAGTACAATTGCTCACTGCAACGTCTCCGTGTATTCGGGAGAAGGCGATCACCGTAATTTGCTTGCTAGCGGAGTCGGGAAGTTGCGAAAATTGGCTTGTTTCGGAGGGTGTTTTGCCATCTCTGATAAGGCTTATTGAGTCTGGTAGTGCTGTAGGTAAAGAAAAGGCTGTAATTTCGTTGCAAAGATTGTCGATGTCAGCTGAAACTGCTCGTGCGATAGTCGGGCACGGTGGGGTTCAACCTCTTATCGAACTATGCAAGACCGGTGATTCTGTAACGCAGGCTGCTGCTGCTTGTACATTGAAAAACATATCGGTCGTGCCCGAGGTTCGACAAACACTAGCTGAAAAAGGAATCATAAGGGTGATGATCAGGCTCGTGGATTGTGGAATTCTGTTGGGATCAAAAGAATATGCAGCTGAATGCCTGCAGAATCTCACTGCTAGCAACGATGCGCTAAGGAAATCAGTCGTCTCCGAAGGCGGTCTCCGCTGCATATTGACATATCTCGACGGCCCTCTCCCTCAAGAATCAGCTGTTGGGGCATTGAGGAATCTAGTGAACTCAGTATCAAAGGAAGTTCTGTTATCGCTCGGCTTCCTCCCCCGTCTAGTACACGTGCTAAAATCGGGATCGCTCGGCGCACAGCAGGCTGCAGCATCAGCAATCTGCAGGGTATGCAACTCACCAGAGATGAAGAAGCTAATAGGCGAAGCGGAATGCATTCCACTTCTCATCAAACTCCTCGAGGCTAAATCGAACAGCGTTCGAGAAGTGTCGACACAGGCAATGTCAAGCCTCATGACACTTTCACAGAACTGCAGAGAAGTCAAAAGAGACGAAAAGAGTATCCCTAATCTAGTGCAACTGCTCGATCCAAGCCCCCACAACACAGCGAAGAAGTACGCCGTGGCATGCCTCGGGTTACTGTCTTCGAGCAGGAAATGCAAGAGGCTGATGATATCATACGGCGCGATCGGGTATCTGAAGAAACTATCGGAGATGGACACGCCAGGAGCGAAGAAGCTGCTCGATAAACTGGAAAAGGGGAAGCTAAGGAGTTTGTTCAGTAGGAAATGAGATCAGATTTGAAGACCCTTTTGGATGTTAAGTTTCATAAGCTAAATGAAACAATAATGTAGTTTCCACTCTCTCATGAACTCTTTGCCCCAAGTGTATGAATATAGTTTCCTTGTATGTTATGGATTGTGAGGTCTAAATCTATTATATTTCTTGTATTTATCCAACAAAAAAAAAAAAAAAAAAAAAAAAAAAAATTAT